AAGCAGTGGTATCAACGCAGAGTACTCGATCATAAACAATGTAAAAGAAGGAGCAAAAGCAAGAACGTCGAAGGAAAGAGCAATAAGCAGAAGTCAATCATCAAGAAATGGCAACTTTTTCGCAATTTTCAAAATCTCCACCATGATATGCGAGCTTAGTGTACTGCGGAACAAAATCGCACCAAAATCGACAAAACCAAAACGATGACTCCCGTCGGTGCACAAAATTTTGGTGCGAAAAACCGTCTAGTGAGCTGATCCCCTGCGGGAGTCAACGGCGAATGTCTGAGATTGGCGACATATAGTCCCCTAACCCTCTTCTACGGTTACAAAAGCAAAATTTGGGTATAGTTCATGCATAAAGTCGTGACGCCGGATTTGACGGCGGTCTTTTCGCCAACAGAAGCAGATTACACTCATATAAAAATGCACCTCAACTCTCAGCTCACAAGGGAATGGTCAGAAGTCGAAGTGGCCAAACCAAACAAGCTGTATACCATTCGATGCAGTATAAAACGCTGACTTCGAATCTGTCTTTCTTATCTGCTTCCCGCTTCTGTGGACGAAGCTACAAGCGGTTTTATTGCAAAGAAATCACACATAAATACAGCGAATTTGAACACTGTTGCATTTTTAGCTCAGCTTCTTTCTTTAAAAATTTGAAGTAGGCTAGCTGCATGTTTTGGCCCAGCATCAGGGCGAACGTGGCTCTGCACGGCTAAATTTTCAATTTCACGTGTAATTTCTTAGCAAAATAGTGGTCTTGTAGCTTCGTTTACAGAAGCGGGAAGCAGATGAGAAAGACAGATTCGAAGTCAGCGTTTCATACTGCATCGAATGGTATACAGCTTGTTTGGTTTGGCCACTCCGAATTCTGACCATTCCCTTGTCAGTCACTTCTGATGTCTAAGTGCTGTCATATGCAAGCAGAAAAAGACCATTCAAGTGAGGATGAATAAAGGAAATTGCGATTGCAGGACGCATGCGTATCGCGGGCAGTCGCGCCATCGTCACGATTTTTCGGATGCTTGATTCAAATAATTAAAAGCCTTTTCGAGTCGTGCATGTTCCTCGTACTTTTTAGTAAAATTTTTAGTTTTTTTTTATCACGGTCAAAATAGCGCCTGAGAGATAAAGCAATAAAAGGAAGGAGGCTTAGCTTCGTGTCAAACACAAAATTTTTTATTCCACTGTGTTGACTCTAGCATGGGCACCTATTTTCTCCACCAAATCCTGGACGCGGTTTACCCTATATATCAATAGTTCGCGCTAGTCGAAATCCAGCAATTACTCTAGATAACATACAGACATATGCACACAAACTTACTGTTACTTGGTAGTCACGTTTAGTTTACTTACTGCTAGCCAACACGCCTGCTTTCGCAAAAGGGTCTTAATGGGCTGTGAATAAACCATTTGCGCAACATTGTACAAAAGTAATTTAGAAACTCTTGAGCTTCAATCTATAGAAACATGTGGAGCTGTATAGACATATTATAACGCTGATGAGGCTACGAGGTCACTTGCAGTAGAGCTTTCCAAACTTATGCCATCAGAAACACGTTCACATATAGGGCCAAAAGTCGACTCGCATTTTACTCAAGCGAGAAGCATACGTGATAAAAAAAGCTGTGCGAAATAACAGCTTTCTATCATGCGGCGACACGCCATGGAGAGAAAATGATTGGCTCCGAGATTCGGTGACCGTATCCGATCACATCTTCCTGAACGAATGACATGAGCTTCACTGACCTTGCTTTCATAGTGGGGAAATGCTTGGTTAGAATCTGGTAAACTGATCCTCCCAGATGTAAGTAAACAAACCAATAAATCGATATAAAGGCTGTGTGGATAGTAGCCTATCTTGCTGTTAGAAGTCCCACCTCAATCCGTGCATAAATAGACCTTTTGAAGGTTACATACATAGAACACACAGTGAAATCCTCCCTCCCTCCCCCCCCCCACCCCCCAATAGTTTAAGCTCTGCCGTACAGAATACAATCTCGTCCCACAATATAATACTGCTCACACGCCACCCTTTAAAGAAAGAAAAAAATATTTGCGTTGCAGTTGCTTTAAAAACTCAAGGTTTTTGCAGTTTCTCTCAAAACTTGGCCGAAAGTGGACGGTGGCGGACGAGTGGCGTAGTGGAGGCGCCGCTATGACCAGACCGCCCGCAGGTTTGGTCCTGCCCTGGACCAACCAAGTTCTCCACATTCCGGGGACGGTAAATTGCATCAGAGTAATCTGGGAGAATAAAAGCACTGACTTGGTAATCGGCTGGCCCCCAAAAGTCGCTGTAATAGGTCTGCACGCATTCAGTAGCCTCTTTGACTATGCAGTAGAGTGCATTCGGCACATGCCGCAGAGGGTATTGAAGACGCCATATCCTTTATCCTTATCCTTTCAAAGTGAATGATATCTTCCTGAAATAGTGTTTCTCTCTGCAGAATGGTGTAAACTAACATTTCTGCTTCACTCACCTTTCTGAGATAAAAATGGGATTTTTGTACAGCAGTTGCTTCCAGAGCTTGAAATTTCTTACTTTTCTCGAATAGTGTTCTGCTTTGAGGAAAGCTGTACAATTTTCTCCTACAACATCACTTTGCTCGCACGCTCACCTTTCCGAGGAAAACAAAGGTTTTTTGCAGACCAGTTGGCTTCACAGTTCGATATTTTAGATTTGCACCAAACTCGGCAAGGAAAGTGGATGACGCTCCCTAAAATGATGTTCTGCCCTCAGCAACGCTGTACCTCTGTTCCCAAATATTATTCTGCTCACACGCTCAGAAAAATGAAATTTCTGAAGAGCAATTCTTCCCAAATGCTTCTCAGCGACTTTCACAGATTTTGTCCGGAAAACAGGAGATAACTCCTTTCAATGATCTTCCGCCCATTATGTGCAAAGTTGAGGTTGTCCACACAAAAATCGATGAAATGGATAAAAGTAACAAGTACAATAGTAAACGGTTACTACGTTCTATTTACCGTGCGCAGTTGCACCTTCCCTCACCGTGCTCACTTTAACTACCATGTCAACTCCCACTTCCTTAACTCAAAGGGTGCAAATAATCGATAAAATCGACAAAAAATAATGACTATATTTACAGACGGTCATTTTATTCGTAATCGGCATGCTCAGTTACCCCTGTTCCAGCTCCCACAACGTAGCCCAAGGTTGCAAAAAAAGATAAAATGGATAAAAGTACTGTGTATTTATACAATCTTTTATTATATCCGCACTCAGCATGCTCACTATCCCCGTAATGATATAGTAGGTCATTCCGAAGGTAATTTCGCTATTTCCAAACGGGCGCCACATTTGATGGAAAAAAGATTTCCAAGAGATCTTAGTAGCATTCGATGCAGCATTTCATCCTCTATCTAACGGTAATGAAACCGTTGCAGCGCAGTCAATGAGCTTTCGGAAAATTACCAAAATCTATGACCCTGGTTTTTGAGATAGTCAAGTTTCACAATTTTTTAAAACTTTCGTTTCAATTCTCAGAAGGAGTCCAAGTAGCGATTCGATGGAGCAAACCCTACAGGATACAAAAACAATTTTTCTCCTCCACATAACTCCTCAAAATTTTTTGATAAGATTCTAATTGATGCTACCAATATCCATTATTGGTCAACTCAATCATTGTGGAACATCAAACGGTGAGCAGCTCGAGCGTCATTCGATGCAGCTTGTTCTACTCTTTCTAATGGATGCTTTTTGTTTCCCCTTCTTGAAGTTTTCGCGTATAAAATAATCATAATTCATATTTTTGAACACGTTCCGGGCTGTACCAGGAAAAATCGAAATTAGATATTTCGATTCTGTAAACTCTCATTCCAACACGTTCCGGGCTGTACCAGGAAAAATCGAAATTAGATATTTCGATTCTGTAAACTCTCATTCCTTTGCAAAATCGGTGTTATGTCATAATGCCATTGTGAAAATTTTGAATTCCGAAGATTTACTGGTGTTTGATGCGAATGTGGCTGACGCAAGCCTGTCAAAATTCGATGGTTATAATAAATCTTTTAAGAAATTATGGCAAGAAATAAAAACGAGAAAAAAGTTACGCCATATCCAGGTGTTCTCTATCGAAACACTACTTGGACTCGTTCGGAGGGTTGATGTAAAAATTTAGGAAAATTGTGAAACTTGAGCATCTCAAAAAGCATGGATCGCAGATTTTGATTATTTTCTGATAGCTCATTGACTGTTTTGCAACAGTCTCATAATCATTAGAAAGAGGATGAAATTCTGCATCGAATACTAAGATCTCTTGATAATCTTTGTTCCATAACATGTGGCGTCCGTTTGAAAAAAGCGAAACTACTTTCGAAATGACCTAATATGTATGCGTTTAGAATAAACAGTGTAGTGAGATGTGTGAACATATTAATAGTGGTACGACTTTCGTCACATCTTTGCCTATTTCAACACATGTCATGCGCTTCCATACTTCAAAACAGCAAATGGGCAACGAACGCACTTTGCGTGTCGTGATATAGCGCTTCGACATCTTCATTCACCATTCAGGGGCGGTTTCTCGACTGATGTCTATACAAAACAACCTTATAGCCAAACACGGGGCGGATCAATCTAGCCGTCGCGTTTGTTGATTTCGGGTTCATATTATAGGGGATGATATCGTTTAGTCTGCACATAAGCATCTTTCACGATGTTCGATACAACTAGTCGGTAGTAGCAAGCTTTATTTTCTTGTCGGAAAATACGCTTGACGATCAAGTACGATGCTGCTGCTGTTGCTGTTGATAACGCAGGATTAAACTGAAATTAAGTTAGTGAAGAAATTAATTTAGTGAAGAAAGCAATTAACACATGACGATAGAAAAAACGTGCCCATGCGGTAAGAGAGATTCATTTTGATTCGCCAGATTCTGCTGTACATAATTATAGGCACAAGATTACCCTCCGATTTGTAGGTCTTTCCTTTATATGTAGCAGAACAAAACCTGTAATACTCAGAAATACACAGAGGGCCAAGCATCAGTCTCATTTACCTGTATCCAGTCAGACGTTGATCTTTCTGTGCTTTAACCTCAACACCAAACCAGTAGCATCCTGGAGTTTCAAGATTTGGCGTAATATCGTCGACTTTCACTTCGATTTTTCTTCCCCGGGGAGCCTGCATGACACTAATCAAAACAATGTAAAAGCATTATGTCATTGTTGTAGACCTGTATCCAGTAGTATTCAAACAAAAAGTCGTCTTTATCATTGGTGTTATACACGTTGTTGTAGCCCACTAGGGTCTCTATTTTTTGCCAGTTTGATTTGGCTTGCAGTACCTTTCCTGGCCCGTCTGGCTGAAATGCTTATTTAAAAATTGCTGATTTGAGTGAAGATGGCCATACCCTTTCATTGCATAGTCGTCCTCCATATCCACCTGGACAGTTACATATTGAGCAATCTCGAGGGTTTGGATATCCACCGTTTGCGCATTTTGCTGTCTCATAGGATGGGCCGGATGGGCCGGACGGTTGGGAAGGCCTGGATGTGGTTGGGCGGGAAGGCTTGGTTGTGGCTGGGCGGGAAGGCCTGCCTGTGGTTGGGCGCAAAGGCTTGGCTGTGACTGGGCGGGAAGGCCGCCTGGTTGTGGTAGTTGGACGGCGTGTGGTAGTTGGGAACCTCTCGCCGCCCTCACCGGGCAATTTATCCCAATTGGTCTTCCCTCCAGTATTTGAGCCTTCTTTCCCGGGAAGTTTATTACCACCGTTTGAGCCGCCCTCTTCTCCTGGTAGTTGACGACCATTTGAGCCGCGAAAAATGCTACTCCAACTTGAGCCGCCAAAAATGCTACCACCGTCTGAGCCACCCTCTTCTCCTGATAGTCCACCACCATTTGAGCCACCAAAGATGCTGCCCCAGCCACTAAAGTCCATGCCACCGATGTTACCGAGGCTACCCATGGGATCGAAAAAGCCACCGAATCCGAAACCATCATCACTGTTGAAGGAACCGCCGGAACTACTATGAGTAATGGTGACTCTTTTGGTAATTTTGCCATTTTTATCAGTGTAAGTTTTAGTTCTAGTGATAGTTCCTCGTTTGACTCTACTTCGTGCAGGTGAGCGTTGCTTTGCGTTGCATTTTTCTAAAACACATACTAATCTTGGCTCATATTGGGTTTCCACCCAAACTTACTTAGACAGTCATACATATTGTTCAGCAAGAGCATATCGTAGAAGGAAATGAAATTTGACCCCATTGTATCGATGTACTTTGAGTCCAAAGGTACCATAGTGTACATACCTTTCTGTTTCTCTAGGGAATAGGAGATCATGCTGAAATGAACTTTTTTCTTTTCTCAATGGACTCCACAAAAATTGCAAACCTATCAGTTGCGTAGTTCATGATGCTTCCATAATCAAAAGGAATACCATAGTTGTTGCTTGTCTCTATAGTTTCCTTATTGAACTGTGACTCTTTTCCGGGTTGAATATTATGCGTGTTGATAATGAGGTATTGATCTCGATCATGTCTTGAGTGCGTATGATACATTCCAAGGGCATGTCCAAGTTCGTGTGCGGCGGTACCAATCTGTATGTACAATATATCAAATCGTATTAACAATACTGATCTTCATTTATTAACGGGCGCTTCTGTGCTGGCGCCAAACTCGAGTTCATTAGGGAAGGATCCTAGGCACACTGGTGACTTCGAATGAGATACGTACCATAGGTGTCTTGATAAACTATTAGGTTGATGCATAATTCCTGCACCAAAATAGGTACAGACGTTCGACGTTCCATGTAAGACATTTATCTATGCGGTTGCTGTATTTTTTTCTCAACTAGGCGATGAAAAAACGAAGTTTTTTGAAGTTTTTCATGTTTTTGCCAAATTAGTGCTGAGATGTTCTAGTATTAACAGTTGTATAGTACATGCCGTTAGCAGTGAAACTTTACATTTTCAGTCTTCTAGAACTGTTAGTTCGCGAGAAATAACGGATCTAGCTCTCCTTATCCAAATTTTTCTTGCCTAGTTGCTAAAAATCCGATATTTCTCGTAAACCAGCTGCTCTAAAGAGCTGAAAATTCACATTCACGCTTCTAAGGTCCTATAGTATACAACTGTCAGTGCTAGAACATCTCAGCATTGTTTTGGAAAAAACATGAAAAACTTCGTTTTCTCATCGTCTAGTTGAGAAAAAATACAGCGACTGCATAGATAAATGTCTTAGGTGGAACGTCTACGCGTGAGCAAGAAAGAAAATTTGTATGAGCTTTTTGAACGATGTTACAATTTTTTAAAGATCTTTCTCAAGGTTTTTGGACGCATGGTTTTTTTCAGTTTTTGACTCAAAACTTCGCGTGGATCAAAGCTGGTGCAGATGTTTGAGCAATATCTTGTAGAGCTAGGTTGCGCTTTCAAATGATATATCGAATCCTTCTTGGGATATAGGATTATTCCGAGTTATTGCGGTCTGTACCTATTTTGGTGCAGGAATTATGCATCAACCTAATATTTCAAATGTGCTCCTGTATCGGGTAGAGGAACGAGCACCTCAATTAGGCACCGCTTCCGCGGGCTATTGGTTCTGTCGTCCTACTGTTGTGCATCGTGTTAGGACCGTAGCCCGCGGAGGCGGTGCCTAATTGAGGTGTTCGTTCCTCTACCCTCCCATATCTGGTAAGCCTTTCGAAGGAAGTTAGGAGCGTTTTGAAACTGGTGATAAACACTGGGTACTATACATTGAAATTTAGCAGGTTTAGAAACATATGCTTTTGGTACTTCGAAGCGTTTCAAGCATCAGGTTCAATATTAACACCCGAACACTCATAACTTTTCCTAAAGAATCACTCAACTGATCAAAAAAGTAAATCTGGAATCAACTCGTGAAGAATGTGCATTTCATTCAAGATTGTCAATGCAACCTAAGATGCCTTTCTCATTGATGCGGCAAACATAACTTGCCACCGCTGTGCTAGGGTACTTGGTTAACAGGAAGAGTGGGTTTACGGCTAAAGCACCAGTTAAAAATGGCCTGAGAAGATTGCATTAGCGAACTTTCCAACCCGCTTTGGCCTCTGGATGCACTGAGTCCAGGGCTATGTAAAAGTTGCAATTCCCTCAGTCGTGATTGGCTACCTGATTTCGGCCAATTACCGCCAAAATGGGTGGAGTTACTATCTCCTTTAGCTAGTCAAAGTTTTTGGTGGAAATCCCTCCTCCAGCCTTCTCAGCAAACGTCAGAAAATACCAAAAAAGCACTTAGCACAGTTCTGAACTCAGCGGATCTAGAAGGCTATGTAGTTGTGAAAAGCCCGCAGTCGCATTTTTCCCAAGGCACTGCGCTTAAGCTTCCGGCTCGTCTTTGGCACATACTTTTTAGAGCATTTATTGTCAGTTTCGGTGCTCGAAAAAACGTATCAAAGGTAGCGAAGGATTGCGTTGGAGGAGTGCTCAAGAATATTTTCCGAACGCATTGAAGGCAGGGTCCGGAAAGAAGTCGAATTTGGGATTTTGTGCTTACCTGGGCCTATTCGCTATGCTGAATCCTAAAATCAACACTGGAGAGCGCGAAAACGGCGAAAAAGGACACTAACGCCTAGGGAAATCAGTGGGCGGGATCTTCCTCACTATGAATTCACGGTCCCAGCTTCCAGCGCGAACTTTCCGGTTCCGATTTCAAGTCGCAATCGCACTTGACCTGTGGAGATGTCAGGGCGGCTAGGGGAGCTAAAGTTAAAGCCTTTTCTCGCCGCTTTCGCGCTCTCCAGTGTGGGTTTTCGGACTAAGCATAGCGAATAAGCCGGGTAAGCACAAAATCTCAAAATCGGCTTTTTGCCGGAACACTGCCTTTAAGCGTTCCAGGCAAGAGACGCTTACCAAGTGACATCCGTTTCCCAGCCTAAGCCTTTGCGCTCCTTGATGTATGCATCCCACGTACGAAGAGCAGGCTGGCTCCATCGTCACAAGAACATAGTGTTGCGCTTAAAAAGTGAACATGAGATACTGGAAGCACAACTTTCATCTCACCTGCATCGCTCTCAATAAAAGTTACACAACTGCCTTGTTGCCATAGCCTTGCCGCTTTCCTGAATATATCTCTCGTTCTACTGTCTGAAAATATTTTTGTCTGATTTCAATTCTGTGGATGATTGAATGATCATACCTACCTATCGCATCAGTAAATGCGTAATACAGGGTGTCGTCTGGCCACTGGTAATTAACCCAGTGCTTCCAGTTCAACGCTTGTCGTTTACTTCTGTCCAATTCCATATGAACATCGTTTCCGAGAATTGCTTCGGCCTGTTGACTGAAAGTCGATGTTGAGAGAAGCATTTGCTTAGAGTTGAACTCTTACGGAGTTAAGATTATGTCACTCTGATACAAAAGGTCTCCAATCTGTGCCTGTGCGTTGACTTGCTCGATGGTACTGTTACCATGTTCCGTATGTTGTATGGGTTGCAATTCCTGTAGAGACCTCTCATTTCAGCTAGAAGTAACTCCACACCTATTCACAAAATTCACCGGAGATTCCGCAGGATAAGCAAAAGTTTGCAGTGGTTCCGCAGGACATTGCTCACCATTGCAAAAGTGGATAGGTTGAAAACGGGTACTTCCGTAAAATGGTCATCCATAAATGGTTGAAAACGGAAACTTCCGCAGGACTCTCTACAAGGCTGGAAAATCCCGAAAAATGCCAACGTTCCGCAGCACTTTGACCTGCCAGTACTTCCGCAGGTTTTCAAATGCCTTGTCATCTACAGAAGAAAGGCCAACAACTAGAGTGCATTGTCGAACATGTCATCCGTAGTGCAGAAGATAGAGTGAGTCTCGCCGTCGATAAGGCAAGGTTCGAATCTTGGTTAGGTGTTCTATTTTGCTGTTTTCGTTCTGAACGCTTCCGGAATTTCCGCAACACGCTTACGGAGCTCCCGCAGGAGACCGGCAGAGCTTTCCCATCCTGCGGAATTTCCGGTAAACTGTGTGAGCCATATGAGCAAATTCTTTGAAATACCGCCTCAATCCTTTGGAGAATTTCCTCCCGTTGAGGACTCAGTCGCAGTTCCTCTTTGATTTCATCCGCATGTGCTTGCAACATTTCATGGTTGGCAAGAACCTCAGCCTTGTTCACGGTCTGGAACACACTATAGAAGAAAGCGTAAAGCAGAAGTTGTATTAGCTAATAGCTCACTAGTGGTATCTCACTTAAGGCCCTGTCAATCCTTTCGACAACGGTTTCTGCAGCACTGTTAGCAGCAAGTAAAAGTGGAAGAAAAAGGAACAACGACATTCTGTAAAATACTTGTGTTTTTGGACAGAGATCTATATTTATGAGGATGGCAAAGAAAGTCAATGTTCCACAACTTCAATTAACTCTAATATACAATACGTTGTACCTGTGAGCGTATCTATATCTGTACATGGGTTTGAGCATAATCCAAAAGTAATGAAAATGTAATGCAATAAAATGTAGTCTTTATTAGCTTACTGCATAAGTTCTGACAGGTGTGCAGTTTTCAAATTCAAAATAGTATAACCTGTTTCGGAGGCAACTGTTTTCAATGATCTTGGTTCAATGGAATTGAAAATATTTTGGCTAACAGAAGGGTACGTATCTTGAAAGGAGTGGCAGACATATTCAGTAATTTTTGATAGATGCCAAAAATTTCGAAGACTGTTTTGTGCAAAAAAACACATAGGGTTATTAATGTCGAGAGTTTTTCAAATGAACGGTTTTTGACCTCACATTACTACATGTATGACATGTCTATTTTTGGGTTATGAAATCTTTAGATTTACATTGAGCTGTGAAAGTAATTGGTGCATATGTTCTCTAGCTTTTGCTTTACTATAGAACTTTCAAATTTGAAATCATGGATTGTCTCTGCTCATAGGAAGGTGCTTGTACAACATTTATTTGAACAAAGACAGTGACCGCCAAAAAGTTGCAGACAAGTCGCCTTTCTTCTTTCATCGCTCATTTTCAGATGGAAAACAAAAATGAAAAAATGGTTGAATTGCATGGAGTGATAGAGCTCTTCAAGAGCTACAACCTACACGTTGTGCATTCTGGAAAGCAGGTACCCTAAAAACTGTAATACAAATTTTCTAAAAAAGGTCCGAAAATGGCCGCGTCACAATGTCGCGGACAATAATTCTTCGAACGAGAAAATTTTCTTTTAGGTCTCTTTTTGGAGCAAAAGGAAAAGTTTTTCCGGCAGTTAAGCATACTTCGATAGATGTTACTTCCAAAAAACCCCAAGCTTGAATTTTATTTTGCTTCTTTTCAAAAAATAACTTCTAATTCTCTGCTTCAAACCAAATTTCTTCAATAGGAAGCCCATTCAAGATATTCCAACAAAGCTGTTCGAATAAAAAGGATGCCCCTTGCCATGTTTCATGCATCGGGCGTGTGCTGGGGAGTTTCATTGCTGAAAATGGCTTTTGACAGTGCGTGCACATGACCCCACCTGCACCTCATACTAACTTGTACCGCTTTGCAGGGTTGTGGCTCGGCCAGCAGTTATTCTATGAGTCTGCAGGTAGGCTCATTCGAAAGAGCGTGAATTCCTCGACACCATGGTCTGCAAAAGAGTTGAATACGAGAAACAGCGGAGAATTGGCGGATGGGGTGAATAAGCGCAGCTTCAGGGATAGGCTGAGGATTTCCAGCTAAAGTTGAACAGAGCTTCTTTCGGTACAAGTTCAATCCTGGAAGTTTAAGACTGTCAATGTTCTTGTAATAGATCCATTTTGAAGCTTTAGGACTGTTCTGGTGTTGGTAAAAGCCTCCACTCCATTCACCTCTAACGCTGCGCTTTTTCACCCCATCCGCCAAATCCCGCTGTTTTTCGTACCCGATTCTTTTGCATATATTTGTGTCGAGGATGTCACCCTCTTTCGAATGAGCCTACCCCCGAGCTCATGGAGTGACTGCTGGTCGAGCTACAACCCTGCAAAGCGGTGCAAGTCAGTGGTGAGCTACAAGTGGGGTCATGCGCATGCGTTTCCAAGAGCCATCTATAGCAAAGAAAGTCACCAGCACAGGTCGAATGCATAGATAATGACAAAGAGCATCTGTTTTACCCGAACAGCTTTGTTGGGATGTCTTAAATAGGTTCATGTAAAGAAATTCGGCTTGAAAAAGGGAATTAGAAGCCTTTTTTGAAAAAAGCAAAATAAAATTCAAGCTTTGGTTTTTCTGAAAGTAACCACTACCGAGTTATTGTTCTCGATGACTAAAATATAGTATGCTTAACTGCCGGGAGAATTTTTCTTTTTGCTCTAAAAAGAGACCTAAAAGAAAATTTTCCCATTCGAAGAATTATTGTCCGCGACATTGTGACGCGGCCATTTTCGGATTTTTTTTAGAAAATTTGTATTACAGTTTTTAGGATACGTGTTTTCCAGAAAACGCAACGTGTAGGTTGTAGCTCTTGAAGGCACCGTCCACCCAGATTCTCGACTTCCAGATTTTTTTCGTTTCGGGGCCTTCTCATGTCCCTGATTCCAAACATGAAGTCGAAAATCTTCGAAAATCCCGAACATTCCCATTTCGGAGAGCCCACAGGCCGGCTTTCCAGAGCGGTGATTGGATGAGCGCGCACAAATGGGCGGGCATGGATGGGGAGGGGCGGGCATGGATGGGGGTCCTCGCGCATCTTCGCTATTCCGAAGCGATTTTCTCGCTTCCGAAGCGGCATTTTGCGCCGCGACTTGGGCATTGGCTTGATAGGAGGCTCTACTGTTATATGCTGCCAAAAGCTCAGCACCCTCAACTTAGGGTGGACGGTGCCTTTAACCCATTGACGACGACGCCTAATTTTGCGCGGCGGCGCTATGGGACGACGCGATTTTGCACAACACTTTCAGCGTGGGAAGGTTTCGTGCTTGTTTGCGAAATGCAACATTGTTTTGTAAACAACTATTAACATTTTCTCGAACGACAGAGCCTATAGGTCCTAAGAATACAAAAAATTGTTCATATGTGGAAAAAATACTAGACCTGCAAATAATACGACTTTGCCAGAGGTGTGGGCCACCGGGGGTCCACATCGTCCGCGGCAGCAAAAAGTGCGTAGGCCACCGGTGGTCCACATCGTCGTCAATGGGTTAAAGATCTATCACCCCATTCAATTCAACCATTTTTTCATCTTTGTTTTCCATCCGAAAATAAGCGATGAAAGAAGGAAGACGACTTGTCCGCAACTTTTTGGCGGTCTTTGTACCCTTCGACAATCCGTGCATATGCTAGACCCTTACATCTTTATTCCGTGACCAATACAAGAGTTTGGCTTGGACGGCGCTTTGCGATTTTCACAAGAATACATACATGGCTTATCAGTTGAAGGCTCGGGTGCACCAGCATCTCCACTCCCGCGTGGACTCTGCATCTCTCCCGCAAAACATGCTCTCTAATCACTTTCAACCGAAGCTCCGCCCACGCTCGCTCTGGAAAAGTGCTCAGAGAGCATGTTCGCGGAAGAGACGCAGAGTCCAGCGCGAGAATGGAGACCTGATGCACCCGAGACCGATTGATAAGCCTTGTATCTTCAAGGTTAAAATGCCTTCGACCGCCTAGAAACTTAGACCTGTAATCGCGTTAGACTGAGGATTTTAGTAATAAAAGAAAAAAGGTTTTTCGGAATACTCCGTTTCGTTCCTCCCCTTAGACGGAGTAAAGGAGCTCAGAACTCTCCCCGGAACTCCTCAGTAAGGAAGGAGAGTTCATGAGTCCTGTGTATATTTTGAAACAGTTTTAAGATAAAAATTTTTTAAAATTGTTGTAAAAGTTGAAGTTTGACAACTTACAGTTTTTATACTCCGTCTTATATTATATATATATTATATTACATTAGTAATATATGATATATCATTTGTGTTGATTATATACCATATAGTATAGAGTGACCATATTGGTAGATGAAAGAATAAAATGAAACATGCTAGTGTTTTTGTAGTTGAATTTATTTATTATGACATCAGTCATTTTGATGCACTACTTTACTGAATTGGTTGTTTGTAGTAGATGTATATTTAAGTAACTATATTGATTAAAAATACGTAATATTGATTAGGATCCAATGATTTTGTATAGTTATAGACTGGTGTACGACATATATCAATTAACTATAATTTGTGCAGATCATGATGTAGAATGTGTAATAATTTTTTAATTTTATCATAATTGTAAAATTTGTATTTATATAGTATAAAATTATTTTCATGTAAGCATTTGAAAATATTTGAGTAAATCATATTTTCATTGTATCCATTGGAAATAAGTAAATTTCGTAACTGTATTATTTTTTTTTTGATAAAATCGTCAAGATAAGTGCAAGTACGGGCAATTCTTAAAGTTTCTGTGTAAATAATTGCGTTTTTGATGTGTTTGGATACACCAGAACTAAGTTCAACATTTGTCGGAAAGATCAAGGAAAGCATTTCCTAATATTATAAATATTACCGCATCAAAGGCAAGAATCTTTTTAGACTGCTAATATACGCAAAAAACGGCTAGAGCTTACGCAGCAGCCTAGTGCTTGCATACAAACATACAATGTCGCATTGTATGGAACTTTCAATCCAAGTTTTTGGAGGTGAGGAAACGCAAACAGCATTATGAAGTACAGGGAATGTCTTATAGCCAGGCTCGAGCAAGAGGTGTGGCACGCAAACGCCGGAACGACCCGCTTCCCCAGCATTTTCGCCTGCCTACCGTAAGCATGACATAAATGCTCTACCGAGCATAACTAGTAACATATTCGTAATTATTATGTCAAATAATCCCTGTGGGACAAGTTTCAGAGAATTCTGACCAAATGAAGTAGCCATTTTCAAACATGGTTAACCATATTTTAAAAGTGTATTAGCTAGCTCTTGTACTCACTACAAAGCACTACTCCATGTTTGCAAATTCCGTGAATCCTGCTTCAAATATCCATCAAACTCTGGAGTTAGGAGCCGGCTAAAATCTCATTTGCTCAATTTTTCGCTTACAGTGGTTGTAATTCCAGCAACTACTGTTCAAACCAAAGAAGACGAATTCAGCTCTAATCACTTCCACGAAAGCTATGAGACTTTGGCTATTGAACTATATATAAATTGTTCCTTAATTTTCTCGGAGGTAAGTTAATGGGGTGCGACAGAACCTCAGAAAAGCTATGGCTGGCACATCTATTAAGGGGTTGTGTAGCACCCCACTGACTTACTTTCAAATCATTCATATACCTGCGTTTTCAATATCGTTGCTACTGCTTAACCTTGTTCCTTACACAACAGAACTTCATT